CCCAAACCGCGTTTCCCCAAACGTCAGCCTTCAGCTTTAGTGCATGATACACACCAGCTGGGCGCTGTGGCTGGCATGTTCTCGTCCGAGCTTAATAACTTCCTACTAACACGAAGCATAAAACTCTAAAGTCGCACCACGCCTGATTGAAGGGACATCTTCCTTCGTGCTTCTTCCCCGACAGATGCTGTATTTTAATGGGCTAACCCCCATTAAAAGCAGAAGTAACTCTTTGCTCTTACACAGTAACTAGTCTGCGAGCGGCTGTGTAGGTGACGCTTTGTGACGTGTTGCTCCAAAATGATTTTCTTGTGGCCTCCTTTTTATTTCTAAAACATAGTTGCAATGGACTATCACATTTACTTTTTTTCTTTCTTTCTCTCTCCCCTGTTTTCGAAAGCCGCATGCTAAGGGTAAAATCTATGTGCAGAGTCAAGGTAAGAATTTTTTAATATACGTATTTGAAAAAAAACAAAAATGAGTCTTTATCTCATAGAGACAGGTACTGAAATGTTTGTGGATGAAATAATACCGTGTCTGAGATTTACTTAAAAATAGTTTGCAGAATGGATCCACTTTTATTATTTTCTAACATTAAGATAAAAGATAAATAAGAAAACATTATAAAGGAATAATTAAAAATGCAGATGGCAAGGTTTTCCACTTGCGGAAGTACAACGTACTCCATCAATGGTCTGGGTTTGCTTTTTTTGTCTTTTGCATTCTTATAAGAGTTGATTTGAGCCAAACTGATGACAGATACTGGGGAGCAAGGTCTCAAATGCCTGTCAGGGTATGTTTAAGAAAGAAAAGAGACGAGCTTCTCTGTGGAGGCTGAGTTGAGTTGGGGAGACCTGGAACGCTTCTGCCTCCGCGTCCACCCCTTCCTGCCCTCACCCCGCCCTGCCCGATGGTGGCCGCGGACGTCCCTTCCCGAAGCCCTCGGGGTCTCCTGCACACAGCTGGGACATGACTACACGGCCCCGTGGAAGTCAGGGACAGAGTGGTCCCCAGGAGCAACTGACTCTGACTGAGGGTCGACCGGGCACTGAGGCCCGGGTCGCGAGCTCAGGCCCCGTGAGCTTTCCATGATGCCGAGGGGCACACGGCCACCTTTGCTGCACGTCGTGCGGCCACCGTCCAAAAGCAGAGGCAGCCAAGCCCATCCCGATGTGTGTGTGTGTGGGGGGGGCAGCTGCGGGTCTTTTCTCGTGGGGACCCCGTGGGCTCACTTTGAACCCCACGTGCGGAGGGACTCACGGGAGTTCGCGAAGCACTCGGAGCTTGGAGTGGCTTCGTGGGGACCGAGCATGACCCTCGTTTAAACGGCAGCACGAAGAAGCCGGTCATGTCAGCCACGTGAGCATCTCCTTCTCTCCCTCCCGCCCAGGGATCGTGACGGCCCCAAATGCCGCCTTTGACTGGAACACCTTCCTCCGGCGCGCAGGTGAGAGAGAGGGGCCTGCCGACAGGTGGGGGGGAGGGGCCGGCCAGGGCTTCGACCGAACGCACCTTGTCAGCCGGTGTCGGTTACTTGTCACGTTCTCGTGGTTTCGGAAACGAGGCCGTCACGTCGAAGGCGTTTACCGTTTTGGGTAGGACGGGGGATGGGGGAGCAGGGCCTGGAGCAGGGCCGGCAGGTGAGGGCACAGGTGGTTTTGCTCCGGTCTTGGAGACGCCGTCTGCGTCTCGCCCTTGGGAGGCGGCGCCGGCCGGAAGCGGGGCGTTTGGTGTCACACCGCGTGACGTCCGCTCTCTCGAGGCTGCCACCCTCCTGTGCTCATTCGATGCTACTTTACCACTTACACACATGACAAATGACCATTGTGAAAAACATGAGAAAATGGAGATCAGCTAGAGAAACAAAAGTTTGAAGCCATTTGAAATCTCAGCACCACAAAGGACCTTCCGTTAACGTTCCAAAGTCATCTTTCTCAACAACTTTACATATATAGTGATTTTTATGTATTTGTAGATATAATATTGATAGTATAGCTGTATTATATCTATCGTCACATTTGACCTTTAAAATGATATATAAAAATATAATACCTTAAAAATATTAACTCATATGTTAATATATTATAAAATATTTTATCACATAAAACTATATAATTATATCTATAATCATGTAGCGAACCTATCATTATGTATCTTTATTTTTAAGGATTTTATTGTTTTTGAGGCCATTATCGAATGTTTTTCAAGCTCGTTTTTGAGCTGTTGCTGCTCATCTTTAGAAACACACTCGGCTCGCACCCCCGACGCCGGATGCTGCAGTCCCGTCGGTTTGTCTGTTCGCTCTAACGACGTCACGGCTTTTCCTTCCTCCACGGTGTCGTCGTGACCTCCGTGGGCTCGTCTTCCGCTGGACTCTGGGTCTTGGACACGCAGCGGCGAGTCCGTCTTCCCGTGTCTGCCCGGCAGGTCGTCTGCTCGGGCGCGAGTCTAAAAGCAGAGTGTGCGGGTGGGACGAGGCCCCTCATCGGAGCTCCCCCGGCCTTGGGGGTCACCCCCGGGGAGGAAGCGTCAGCGGGCACGCCCGGCGGTGACCCCGTGAGGACGCCGTCTCCCCGGCGTGCGGTGGGGCTTCGAGTCCCGCCGTCGCGTTTCCGTGCGCGGCACGAGCTGAGCGCCGTCGTCGCGGTGTTTAAACAACGGGGCAAACGCCGCGTCCGGCGTCTTTAGGCACAGAACGTTTCGCCGTCCGCAGATGCGGCCCATCCGCGTGCGCCTCTGAGGTGTGACGGCCTCACGGGCCGACCACGCGGGTGCCGGCAAAGGCACGAGGACAGTTCAAATGGCTCGCGGAGCGCGGCGCAAAGTCCCCGCGTTTGCTTGCGCTACCCCGACCCGTTTCTCCCGAGAGCCGACAAGGCGGGGGCGCCGGGGGTCACTTCCCGCCCGTGAACTCAGAGGAGAGGCTGGAAATGCAAAATCGGCAAACGCGATTTCACTCCAAAACCCGGGCCTGTTTTCGCTCCAAAGCCTCGGAACAAACCGTCTGCCACGTACCGTGTGTCAGCGTCAGGTCCCCTTGAAGAGAAAAATACGTCCCAGCATTTTATTAGAAAACATCTCTCAAGTGCGTTCACTCTGATCTTAACGACGAGAGCCGAGCTGCTCTCCGCGTCACGAAGGAGCCCACGCGTGCGACTGCTTGGTCACGTCGGGGCGTGCGTGCCCCGTTCGGAGCCGGCGGGCCCCCCTTAAGTCGCCCGTCGCAAGGTCAGTCCATCTTCTGTCCGTCACGGCGCCCGGCTGCAGCGTAACTAAGACCCGTAGTTGTCAAAAGCAGAAGGATTTGTCACTGAGTTCTGTGGTTCCACTGGTCTTGCTGTTGGCTGATTCACGCAACAGCCAGGAGGTTTATAATACTCCTTAGAAAACGTTTCCCCAGAGACCGACTTGGCCGCACCTGGGTCGTAACGCGTGCGATTAGCAATCGTAAACGTCTGCAGAAGCTGCGGGCACGGGGAAGCAGGGGCCGGGGCTGAGGCGCTGCCTGCGTCGGAGCCGGCTTCAGGGCGAACTGCTAGCATCGAGCAGTGTCTTGGGCTTCGAGGTCAGGCGTCTGTTCTCGTGTGTGTGGTCACTCATCTGTCGTCTCCCACACTCCAAGGATGGACGGCCCCCATCGCCCGCCCTCCCGAGCGTTCGAAACCTGCGGTCGTGATCTGCCACTTCTGCTTCGCGTTTCCGACGGTGACGACAGACGATGCAGTGAGCTGGATACAGACTCTTCGGGATCGAACACCCGCCCTCGTGTTCTTAGGGAATCGTAGGAAGCGTCGACCTCGAAATTGAGGGGACGGGCTCAGGAAGGGTCTGGCCCGGTGCTCCGTGGAAGTAGGCGGGGGGCTGATTACTGCGCAGCGTTTACAGCTGGCTTCTTCGATGTCTGCTGTCGGTTCACGGTGCATTCTGCTTTACAGCAGGCCACGGTTTTCCCGAGACTATTCGACGATTTCCTCCAGCCCTAGCTAGCAATCAATGAAGGCTCCTTGGTTGAAAACGTTAAACGGTTTTTATGCCAACCAGATTCTGTGTTTTCAACGGATCGACGAGGAGCGACAGAAAGAATAAAGTAGGTTAAATGCACTAAGTGGCTTTGCTGTGATTTGCCACGTGACCTTTGCGGTAGTGACTCAGGTCAGAAGATAGCTCTGTGGACATCAGGTTAGTTACCTGGTCTTTGAGCTTTTCCGTTCATTCCCACATGTATCTCTAACAACTCGGTGACCCATGAGTTTTGCCTTGAAACGTCGACGACCAAGACATTTAAAGTGTGGATTCCTTGTAGGACATCGAACTGCCAAACTCCAGAAGTTGAAATCTGACCTGGCCACGCCTTCCTGTTTTTCTGTTTTTCATTTAATTCCATTTCTCTCATTTATTTAAGTTTTTCTCTCTTTCTCTCTCTGTTAAAATTCTATCTGTTCTTCTACGGGGACACTCTGCCTAACTCAGACGCTAGTATTTTTCTGCCTCAGGCTGTTCCTAGGAAAATGTGCTTGTTTTTCGCATGAAAAATGGCCGTCGTGGATCCCCTTACGTTTCGCAGCCCGCAAATCAGATCTTTCGGCTAAAATTCCCTAATCCGATATGCTCGTCTGAAGGTCTTGAATTATTTTCTCCCCCTAATAACGCATAGAAAAGAAAAGAAACAGAGCCCCTCGGGCAGAAGGAAAGGCACAGAAGGGGCTTCACGTGGACTGCGTGTCTGTTCAGGAGCAGCCGACGAGTCACTGGGAGGAAGAGGCGATGTGGCGTTGGGACGGACGTGGCGCCAGACCACGAAAATGGCACGCTTCATTGCGAAGATGACAATACGGTCACAGCGGGAAGACGCGTAAATGTGTGTGTGTGTGTGTGTGTGTGTGTGTGTGTGCGCGCGCGAGCGAGGAGTCCAAGCCTCAGGCGTGTGTGTGCGCGTGTGTGTGCATGTGTGTGTGCGCGCGCGTGCGCGAGCGAGGAGTTCAAGCCTCGATTCACGTCTAACCCGGACATTAGTGCAAAAGCAAAGATAAGGAAAATGCGCGTGGGTTACAAGGAGGGAACAAAACCCACCTGAGAAGGTGCGGGAGGAACCCGCCTCGCCCCCGCCAGAGACCTGCGCAGACCGGTCTGCTTAAGGATGAACACACCGCGTGGCCCTCAAGCTGGCCGGGGCCACAGGGAGCCCGAGGTCTAATTACTCAGAGTTACTGTAAGTCACGGTCTAAACATTTAGAAGATGGTGCTGTAAGCTGCTCTCCCGTCCCCAGACGGACGCTCCAGGGACCTCGGGGCGGGGTAGAGGGAGGGGCCCCTTTCCTCCCACTTTACTTGACCGAAAGGCCGCCAGGTCTGAGCCTGCTGCTCTGAGCAGCAAACGGTGTCGGGTCAAAGCGAAGGAATACGGTAGGTTTCCCACCTGTATACCTGTCCCAGAGCAAAAATAAAGTGCACGTGGTGTCTTTGTACCTCACCATCACCCAGGCTGTTCAAAGGGCGTGTTCGTACACGCGCTCCGTCTCGGAACGTCAGTCTCTCGAGTTAGTTTTGTTCTTGAATTTACTTTTTCTTCAATCCAGCGACAGTCTCCACTTTCCCCTCTTTTTGGAACGTTCGCATTTTTTTTCTCCTGCCACCTTCTTTCCCCTTCTAATATATTTGAATACTAAGTGACGCGTGCTCCATGCATCACGTCGGGAGACACGTAACACCAGCTTCTCCCATTTCTGGTGTTTTTATATAAAGCGTGTGTGTGTGTGTGTGCATGCGTGCATGCGTGCGTGTGTATACACGTGTGTGCGTGTGAACACAGCCACGTGCACGGGGCTAAGGCTTCCTCCCTCAGCGAAGGGGTGTTCCCTGGGTGGCTCCAAAGGTCCATTTCCTTGGTAATTAATAAGTAATTATTGAGAAGGCGCTTTCGTCAGCATCCGCATCGAAACTTCCCTCGCTGGTTTCGGCGTTCTTTGGCGGTTCTTGTCCGGTAATGTAGGTTTTGACTTTTTCCCACACCTGACCTTCCTATCCGTAAAGGCATCCTTCAACTTTTTTCGTTTATGGAAGAGAATAGCTTGTCTCCTGACCTCAGACTCAACATGTCTGATCTCAGCGTCCTCTGATCTCAAATTTAGATTCTGCACATAGCTTCTGGCTTCGACTTTTGATCAAGTAAAATGCGTCAGAGTTTGTATTTCTAAGATTAGTTTCAGGATACTCATAATATTGCGGAGATATTTAAAACCACAGCATATCTCAATGACACTGTCCACGGTCAGTTCAGAGACCGATCATTTGTTAAGGCTTTTCTAAGAAGAACATCTGAATCATTTTAGTAAACATTTTAGTAAAGGTTTTCTTCAGATCTGGTTATGTTTTCTGTATTATTATTATTGTTGTCGTTGTTATTTGGCGTTTGTGATTGTGTTAAATGTGATCCGCATCGATGTAGTTTACTATATTTAGACTAATTGTATTCTCACTCAAGATTCACAAAAGGATAGACAACAGGAAATTGTTTAAGTAATTAAGTCATGGAGGGATGAAATGGATGAACGAAAACCTTTTACTTGCACGATTTTATGTCCGGTTATTTAAGCTTGCAGAAGATGGGGGTTTAGCTCAGCGTGTGTTAATTAGATTATCAGTTTCCGTTGCATCGATGATCTATGTCTGCATAACAAGCCGCCCCAACGCACAGCGGCTTAAAACGCCCACTGTGCGGTTTCTCGAGCTTTCACGGCTTGGCCGTTCGGCCGGGGCCCATCCTCGCTTCCCCCGTGTCCTCCGGGCTCACTCGCGCGTTTGCAGCCGGCTGAGCTCGGCTCCGTGTTGCCGGCCAGGAGGGACGTTGGCTCACTCAGCGCGGTGAAGGCCGCGGTCAGGGGTGGGACAGCTGGATGGGACAGGTGGGTGGGACAGGTGGGTGGGACAGGTGGGTGGGACAGGTGGGTGGGACAGCTGGCCGAGAAGCCGGGACCCGGGGCTTCCGAGCCGCGTCCGCGGGGTCATCACGGCCATGCCCTCAGGCCGCGGCCTCGCTCCTCAGAGCGTGGCGGACCCCTCTGTTGCAGAGATTCGCCGGAGCGCTGACGAGGCGCGCGTGTTTCTCCTGGTCTGCGGGCTGAGACAGGTGAAAGACCCCCTGTACCTGGTGGATGCGTTCTCAGGTAGGCCTCGGAAGCCGCCTGCCGGCGGGAGCCCGGGCCCTGGGGCGGCACCACCGCGCGGGCGTATGTGCAGCCCCTTCTCGCGCTCCGCACGTCGGCAGCACGGTTTCTAGATTGCTCCGGAAACCACCGGGAAAAGGACAGGGCCGTGTAGTGATTTCGGTGGTTTCCTACTTCCCTGTGCCCGTAGCTTTTGAGGGCATCGTGAAGAAGTGGCCAGCGGCTCTAAGGCCCAGGCAGTCTCATCTGACAGCGTTCACACACGTCGCTTGTCTGGTGGGTTCCGGCCACGCTGCTTAAGTTGGTCTCTACGCCCTTCAGTACATTGCTGAGCTCCACCCTAATCACCTAATACCGTAGATATCCGAGTCACGCATGACGTTCTAGAAAAATAGCACTTTACCAAGAAGCAAAATATGTCAACTATTTACATTTTAAATACACAGAATTCAAGTTGACCGAATTATTTAATGTGAATGAAAGAAAAATGACGAGAAATCATTTATGTCGTAGTGCGGTTAACAAACGGACTCGTTCGGAGCTGTGACTTACACCCATTTTAAAAGCATTTCTGTTCTTTTTTCTCCCCCAGCATGGCATCAAGAAGAACCCAGTGTGTACATGGTGATCGTGGGCCCCGAGGTAGGTCAACCTGCCATAAACACCTGTCTCTCTCTGTCGTCTCTTTCATACGTTTTATGGATTTTCTGAAATTAGTTTACTTACTCTTCGAACCAAATCATTTTGTCCTTTTTGAGTCAATAAAGTCTTTTTGCCTTTAAAAAAGAAAAAAGGGAAAACAGACCAAGGTTAAAGATTACGAGGCTTTATGCGTCTTTACGATTAATCCATTACTACAAAGGGATAAAGAGTAAGTTCTTACGGAAACACAGAGTCCTGAAGAGCAGATCGCCTAGCGGGAAGGTCCGTCTACACCACACAGAAGGCAGGTGTCGCACATGGCCCAAATCGCCTTCGAAACTGCCCCGAGCTGGTCGCAAAAGAGCAGCCTCTGCGCCGGAGTGCTCGGGTCTGTAGCCGACTTGCACGGGGATGGCAGCGGAGGCTCGTCAGCCCGGGACGCACACGCGGGTGGGGAGGCGTCCACCCCTGACCGTGGCCGTCCAGGGGACCCTGGCGTCCCCACTCGCCCTGAATGCGGGTCAAGTGTGCGCCCTGGTCCCCGCTCAGGTTCAGAGGCGCGGCACTGGTCGTCTCGTGAACGTGAACTTGGATTTACTGCAGGAGGGTCGGACAACACAGCACACGTGGTGTTTCCGGCCGGTGGAACGGGACGCTGCAGGGACACCTCCCCGGCTTCACGGGGCGCCTGTTCTGGGGCTGCACGGCGTGCTCCCCGAGAACGGCTACCCTCGCTTCCGTCTGCACTTTGCCCCAGCAGGGAGAGGCAAGCGCGTGCGTGTCGAAGGCCCGCCCGAACTCGCCGCGTCACTCACCGCCCCTCGCAGGGCTGAGTGTCATTCTGCACAGCTCAGAGTCTCATCTGTGCTGAAATGCTTCCTCGTGTAGGCGTTCTAGCTCCCTAGGGACCCACGCAGCGCCCTAGGGGGCACACGCACTTCTCGGCATCCTAAAACACCTTTGGAGATGACGGGTTTGTCTAGGAAAAGCCCACCTAACCCAATAAACGTATCCAAGGCTGGACTCTGGGTGGCCACATTGGCCGTCACTGGGAGACCCCTTCTTCTGTGTCGTTTGGTATAACACACGCGCACAAGGCTGGACTCTGGGTGGCCACATTGGCCGTCACCGGGAGAATGGAAGACCCCTTCTCCTGTGTCGTTTGGTATAATACACACACATGCACGCGCACACACACACACACACACACTCACACACACACTCACTCACACACACACTCACTCACACACACACTCAGTGCCAGCCTTGTGATAACAAGGTAGCTCCCAGCACTAATTAGCATTAAGTCTCCGTGGCGAAGCCGTTATTATTGTTATTATTTTTTAAATTCTTTCTTCGTCCTTCTGTCGGAAGCGTGATTGAAAGAAGTGGTGTCAGTTTGGTGCCAAGTCGCTGTGACCAAGCGTGACGGCCCCGAGCGGGCAGCCGTGGCGCCCAGAGCCACCTAGATGGGGCCGAGCAGTGTGGCCGTCGCGCCGTTTCCGTTTCCACGGCGCGTTCTGCTCGTGGCGCACGTGCTGGCTTCCCAGCTATGAAAATCCCCTTTAAACGTCGGTCACGTCGACTTCACGACAAGAGCGACGTAAGCGGGGATCCAGGTGGCGTCAGGCCTGGCGGGTCGCGGGAGCGGGCGCGGGTGGCTGGAGCCTGGGAAGCGCTGCTTCTCCCGCGGCATCGACGGCTCGCGAGGCGGTTCGCTCGGGCGGAGCCGGGAGCTCCAGGTGACGAGCGGGCAGGAGAGGAGAAGCCTGGGAAGGGAGCCCCGGAGAGCAGGGCGGGGACTCCGCCGCGGCGGGTCGCCATCTGAGAGTCACCGGTCCTTCGGTCCACCGCCATGAATTCTTAATAATGCCGAACACGTCTTCCAGAGGGCCCTCCACTGCCGTAACTAAAACCCGGAGCAAACGGGGCCATGATCCTTTGCTGGCAGCTTTGCCACTTAGCAAACCAGCGCCTGGCACGCTGCCCTCGTCACGCTTAGCCGGAGCTTCCCGAGGATTTGGTCACTTGTCCTCCACTCACGGGAGAGAGCGAGACTTCAGATCCCAATGTGCCTGCGGCAGCACAGCCTCCCAGAGGCCCCGCCTCTGACACCGTGGCAGCTGGGTCTCGGGTTTCAGCACACGATTTGGGGATGCAGACGTTCAGGCCACAGCAGTTTCCCGCCTCGTACAAGGTCTTTATCGAACCAAGAAGGAAACAAGAGGCAGCACCCCAAAGGCCTTGACGTCATCTCGGCGGACAGCATGATTTCAGGGAATTTCTAAAGGCAGCATCAAACCCATCAGTCATGAACTCCTCGAAGAGCTTGTTTACTTCCGGGTCCCCCCACCCCCACCATCGCCAGAGGGTTGGGAACCGACACGCGGAGATTCAGGTTCAGGCCCCTTCCTAGCTCAGGCAGGCTCGTGTCTGACGCCCACGTGCGTGTGTTTGCTTTTCCACTGTAGCCAGTGCTGTGCCGATGAGTGTCGACAAACAGTTCTCTGGGGACGGGGGCGGGGAGCTCTGTTGCCTAAAAGCCCTATTTGCCTATTTCCACATGTAAAAGCTTTCACCATGGCCAGGTTCAAGTTGTCAGGTGGATGTCACAACACGGAATTGAGATGGGCATGTGCGCCGTGACCCACTACACACACATGCACACACACACACGCACACACGCACACACACATACACATGCAGGGGCATGCACACACATGCACACAGGGCACACACATGTGTGCACATGTACGCAGGCACATGCATGCATGTGTGCACTCACACATGCACACAGGGCGCATGCACACACAAACGTGCATGTGTGTATATGTACACAAGGACAAACACACATGGGCATGGCACATGTGTGCACACACAGGGACGTGTACACACATGCACAAAGGCACGTGCATGTGTGCGCACTTACACAGGCACATGCATGCACATGCGCACATGCACACACATGCACACAAGGTACATGCACACACACTCACACACATGCATATGCACACACGCACACACATGTGCATGTGCATGCACAAACCCACATGCATACAGGGCACATGCACACACATGCATGTGCACACATACACAGGCACATGTATATGCACATATACACACACTCACGTGCATGTACACATGCATACACAGGAACATGTATACACACATGCACACAGGGCACATGCATGTGTGCACACGTACATGGGCACATGTATACACACATGCACATGCACATATGGGCACATGCACACACACACAACTGTGTGTATGCCCCCCACACACCCAGAAACACGCTTTATTAAACACTACTTTTACTTCACACTGTTCACGCACGGATATTTAAAAAACTGTTCTATGCCACGCTTTGCTATTCTGTGCTATTCTATTCCATATCATTAAAGCAAAAGCTTGTTTTTATCCCAAAATTGATTTCACGATTAGCTCCATAATCTGAAGTTCGAGCGACACTAACTCGGGCCAGCTGGATGGCGTGTGTGCGCGTGTGTGCGCATGTGCGTGCGTGTGTGTGCACGCGTGCATGTCCCCTAAATGTGTGCCCCTGGAGAGGCCCGAGCCTTGCAGTGTCCCCAGTGGGCTGCCCGGCCTGGCCTGGCCCTGACGTCAGGTCCACTGCTCCCGACCACTGGATTCCGGCCAGCTCCCCCGTGACCACTGTCAGACTGCTGAACACTGCGCATTTTCAGAGTCAAGGACTCAATTCAGCATCGATTCTGAGTGCAGATCTAGCAGGACACTAAAACGAGTTTACATTTGAATTCGAACCTGTCCTACAGCGCTGCGGGTTAATATGCCGATAATTCAGGGATGAGTTGAGAAGTGGGTCAGAGGTCGGCTCTTGGGACCTGTTAAAATCCATATCTTAACGACTTTCCCACGCGGCAGACGAAGCGCGCCAAGCATCACAGTTACTTCTGGCGTCTGATGCGAGTCTGCTGTTCTTCAGCTCGTGTGTCCCGTGTTGACTGACGGCTCAGTGACCGAGTAAACCCTTCGGGTGTAAACCGTACCGTCCGGGGGCCTGTAGCGTTCCCAGGCCGGGCGGCGCGCCTCGCAGAGCGAGGCCGTGTCACCCGGGGGACTAAGGGGATAGTCACAGTGCACACGGCAGCGACTCCGCGTGTCCACTCCTCTCTGTGGAGGGACCCCAGTGAAGACGCGGCCGCGCGGCTCAGCCGGAGCCGCGGGCCGCAGGATCGGGCCACTCTGAGCAAATGCGGCTCATCCGAAGCTTGTGGGAGCTACTAGAATCGTCGGGTGAGGCGAGGGGCAGGCTCGGGACCAGGCAGGAGCCAGGAAATCTCAGAGGCTGGGAGCCATAGCCGAGAATGCTTCTCGCGAGGCACTGCACGGCCGCCACCCACCTCCTGTGTCCCGACCACTCCGCCCAAGGTCCAGGCACCCAGTGCCACTCCCGGCAGACCATACCCCGGGGGAATGGGCGGAGACAACCCCAAAGGAAGCGGGGCTCGCTTTGGCAGAAGAGGCGAAAGGATGCCGAAGAGCCGAAGAAAAAAATCCACGTCCGTAGCGATCACAGATCACCTGTTCGTGTTTATTAACGACCAGTCACAGAGCCGACCACTCACTCCCGCCTGAGACTCCTGGCCTCTGGGACTTGCTGGTTCCTGCCTAAACCCAAGGGCCATCGCCGGGCCATCGTTAGGGCCCCGGGGCCGTTGCGTCTGGTATCTGCGGCGACTCACCGCCCTTCCGTGAGGGGGAGGGGACAGTGGTCTTCTGGCGGTGGAAATGGGGCTCCGCACGAAGCCGCAGTTAGGTGGCCCCTCATCCCGTCGTCTGCTGTGCAGCTGGGGCACATGGCAGGTGGTCGGCAAGACCTCAGTAGGAGGCTTGGTTGTCTTTATTTACTTCCCGTTCACAGACGTGGACAGTACACGTTTCGTCATGCGTGTTCACGTGCGTGTGTCCAGCACATCCATGCGTGCACGTCTCAGCACGTGTGTATGCGTGCATCTATAGACTTTACTTACGGCCTCGTCGCGTCTTCACGAAGCATGTATCGAGGGCCTCGGACAGGTCGCAGGCACGTGGACACGTCGCAGGGGATAGGACGGTCGTGGCCACTGCTCTCGTGGAGCGTAAGGTCCAGTTAGGAACAAGTGACCGCAGGCTGGACGTGTGTCCTCAGCGAAGTCTGGGGCGGGAGCCGCCACATCTGCACCTGCCACTCCCCATGGCCAGGAGGCGCCTCCCACACTTTTCTTGTGAATATCATTAATTCCTCTGCCTTTTAATTGGCATTTTTTATCCTCCTGGCCATTTATAAAACAGTAGAGCATGTTTTGTGTTTAGCCGCCAAACACCTGTTTATTTGGGGGGGTCGTTCTCAGCCGGGCGCTTCAGAGAGCTGGGTTCGAGCGGCCCAGGGAGGTCCCGCGACTGTTTCCTGCCGCCAGCGGCTGGCGAGTGAGCCAAAGCTTTCGAGCCCACGATGTTGTTTGTGTGCCCTGCCCAGAGCCTTGCGGGGGAGTGGCCACATGCCAACGAGGGGCGGCGCGCCTCTCCGCGCCTCAGTTTCCCCATCGGCAAAGTGGGCATGGCCAGGAAACTGTGCCCTGGACTCTGTGTGGCTGTGTCACCAGCGTCACCAGTGCCGTGATGCGGTGGTCGACCAGAGGTGCCGCCGAGGTCCCCTCCCCGCGTGGCTGTGCTGGGGGCGGCTCCGCGGCGGGGCGGCCCCGTCCGGCTTTGGTCCTCCCCTCACGCTGCTCCGACGGCTCAGCGCGGCCGTGTCGGCAAGCGGGGTCCCCCCGGTCAGGGGTCTCCGGCGCATGGGCTTTCTGGGGTGGCGCGAACGTCCGTTTCGAACGTGACCTTACCGACCTTTCTCAATTACTCCTTACAGCAAAGATGAGTTTCTTTAAGCCTGGGAGTTGAAACAATATGTTTTGCTAGAAAATAAATAAGCTTCAAAGGAGGAAGTGAGAATTTTCTGGGCGGCTCGCTCTACTTTAAAGTTTCCTAACTCGCGCTGCTATTGAGTGGGCACAGCCAGCCTTCGCTTTGTGCTTATCTGGTCTTCGTTCTGTTCCATGTGGCTTCACTGAGAGATTTAAAAGTGAACTGACTGGGAAAGTAAATCCCGAAAAGTTGATGCAGTTTCTACTTTCCACTTGGAAGGGGTCATTTCGCCTTCAGTTAAGTGTTAGTTTAAGTGTCAGGTGTCACAACGGTCTTGTAAAACTCGATTTTTTTTTCCTCCTCGACGAATTATTTTTACCTACATACGATCATCGTGAGAGCAGAAACGTGCTAGTAAAATTAAAAACAAGGACTTTCTGACTAACAAGGATCATAAGTCAACTACGAATTGGAAAATTAGTACGAAGAGCCATAGGAGGCTTCCGCTGGGCTGTTTGCTCTGTCGCGATAAAACGCTAGCGCCATAACGTAATTCAGTCATCGAGGATGATTCCAGAAAAATGAAACAGAGGTGGGCGATGGGGGGAGGGCCGCTTGGAAACCTGTCACTGAGCGAGCACGGTCGAGCGGGGAGCTCTGCGCAAGGCCCTGGGCACGGCGTCAGGAGGGAAACTGAGGCTGTACGGAGCAGAGACGGACATAGCGAGAGGCGGCCGCGTGTGCCGGAAGGGTCTGGGGCGGGGACGTCCCCTCAGACGGGCGGCACTGGCCCGTCCCTGGGGGCGAGCGGGTGTCAGGGGCAGTGCGGGGCCCTCCTCGTGGAGAGAACGTCTTTCTCTGAGGAGGCAGGTGGGAGACGGGAGGGAGGTGACCAGGCGAGCAGGTGGGCGCCCCGTGGCCGCCCTGGCGCTTTGTGACCGGGCTGGAGTCCTGGAACCGAATCGGGAGGCGGCAGAGTCCGGCTTCAGGGCCCCAACCTCCGGGGTGACCAGGCCCCGTGTCCCCTCGCGTGCGGGCCTGGCACGTCACCGCAGCCACCTGAGCACAGACGCCCTCGTGCCTCAAGTCGGGGCAACTCTAACAGGATCGTCGGCGGGAAATGAAGCGCAGGGCAGGCCGAGAGCGGCCACTGCCTCCTCCCCTGGCCCGTCACGTGCCCACGAGTTCTTCCCTGAAGGTCTTACTCGGGAGAGAGTAGCGTCTGCAGCGTCCAGGCCCCTTGTGCGCCCCATGGTGGCCCGTCACTTGCCCGCCCCACCCGAGGCAGGTGAGTCAGCAAGGAGATCCCGGCTCCTCCACGGCCGACTGCCCACCAGCTGGCGTTTTTCCCACGGGGTCAAAAGGCACCCAAGAATGAGACTTCCAGGGGGAAATCGGAGGCAGAATCCGGGACTGGCAATTTTTCTGTTTCCGTTTATTCGTATGTGAGTTTTTAATACGAAAGCGGAGACTTGAGGCTTTAACGCAGGTGGACGTGTTTCAGCGATCAGGTTTCGGCTTTTATAATGGTTGTCGATTAAACTTTTCTGGACAAATGCCAGCCCTTGGATTTTCTTAAAACAAGCGAGTTTCTTCTTGACGGCAACAAAACGGCGTTTGCCGCGTTTTTGTTTAAGATAGAGTCCACCCATTCACTGTGTTTTTCTGATTTGTCCAACAAGCAAGTGCCTGTTTTTAATAGTCTGTTTTCCATGCGGTTCCTGTAAGTTCGCTATGAAAATACATTAAACGTGAAAAAACCATCTTTCTAGGAATCACTTCAATTTTCCTTATGCGTCTGCATTTGCCGTGTTGGCCTTCAAAGGGACATAGTGATCTCAGGGACGTAAGTGAACTTACCGTTGCCAGTGTTTGGGGTACATCTCGGTCTCACCGGTAGCCTGAAGGGTTTGGGGTTCAACACACACGCACACACACACACACACACACACACGTGCGCTGAAATGAGGCTTCTGGAAAGCAGTGATTTCCATTGGCATGATAAACTGTAGAGACGTCGTCACGTTCGCTGCGTCGCACTAGCTGGGTTCGTAAACCCTCACACCTGCCGGCAAAGCGTGACTGAGGACGGAAATGGACTCTGCCTTCGGTCCCGGCTCCTCCAGGGACACTGTTCCTCGAGCGTGTCTGCGCCCTCCTCTGCCTGGATCTTTGAAACATCGTTTCAAATTCTGTGTTACGCTTGCACGAATCTAAGAGCATCTTGTCAGTTCTTTTTAAATTGTATTCGTTGTTCATTTTACGGGATTGGGGGAGGGGCGTGCAGGGCAAAACCAGCCTCTTGGTTGTTTCGTTGAAGAGTTTGCAGTTGGATGGACCACAAGCCATACGTGTTTATGGTAGCTTCATCCTAAGTGGGCTGTAGGGCCCCGTGGCTGCCAAAAACGTGTCCCCCGAGGCCGCCTCGGTGCCTCAGTAAGTGGACTTACCTGGGAAGAAGTCCCTGTGCGGGAACAGCGTGGCGATTTGGTTTCTGGTCGGGAACCGGGCGGGTCCCTCTGACACAGTGTGTAGCTTCAGGGATTCGAGCATCTCTGTCCTGACCTCTCGAATCCGGAGGCCCGAGAGGAGTGGCGTGCGTCTGGGCACGTGCACGTGCGAGGCGAAGCTTCCAGGCGTGTCGCGACCCCAGTGCGCACGCCTCTCACAGGCTTCGGACTCTGTCTCCTGCCGCTGCTCGTGTGTAAGTTGCCGTGTCAGAGCTCAGGTGTGAGCACGAACTGCGTTTTCCCTCATCTGCTCCCCCAGCCCCCCGAGGTGCTGTTAGTTTTCTTGGTTTACAAATGAGGGGCCCCCGCCGTGAGTGGCACGGGGCGGGGCGGGACCGACCCCGGTGTCCGTGTCCAGGGCCCCTCGCAGTCTGTGCCACTGCGGCTTCTGGCCTCTGCGCCTCCACATAGGAGTCGGCCGAAGAAACAGATGGAATGGAAATGCTGTCATCGTGGACCAGCTTGAAAACGTCGCTGTTAATTTTCGCACTAATTCCAAAAAAACATATTATCGCCAGAGATGCAATGGGATGAACACAATGCCTGATCCAAAGGACAGATTCCTCCCAGATTACTCCAGAATGAGGAGTAAAATCCACGTTCAGGGAGATGAGGCTGTGAGTAATGAAAAAGTTGCACTTGGCTTTTTCTTTTGTAATTGACATGTAATGTACGTGCCATAAACATCACCATTTCAAGCATATAATCCAGTGGCCTTCTAGAATATTTGCAGAGCTTTGCCACCGTCACCCCTACCCACTTCTGGAACATGTTCATCACCACACCCATCAGCGGCCACTCCCCGCTCCCTCCTGCCCCAGCCCCGGGCACCCACAAACCTCCTTCCCGTCTCTGTGGATTTGCCTCATCCTGGACATTCCACGTAAATGGGGTCCCCTCGCACGGGGTCCTCCCGTGTCTGGCTTCTCTCAGCACCGTGTTCCCGGGGCCCATCCGTGCTGTAGCGTGCGTCAGAGCCTCGTCCCCTCTACGGCCGAGCCGTGTCGTCCCCTGGCGTGGCTGGGCCGCCCCTTACCCCATCACCAGCTGGTGGGCATGTCCTTGGCTTTAGAAGTGCGTTTCTAGGGAAGGCTCCGCATTAAAAATAAAATTCGAACTTTGTCTCAGATCCACGAAGGGGTTCAGCCGGGTCCACCTCAGCGGTGTCACAGCGAAACCCTCACGGGGAATCGGGCAGAGCTCCCCCCGGGGCCACGAACGCTTCTGACCCGAGGCCTGGAATTGGGGGGCTTGGGGGTCTGGCCCCGTGGCGCCCCGCTTCCCCACGCTCCGGCCCGACAGGCCAACCGAATAGCAGTGCACGTGCGCTTCTGAGCTCTCGGGTCCTCCTCTCGTCCTGCGCGGCGGGGACCCCCGCTCTGTCGCCGTTCCCCTGTGACTCAGGCTCACCCCACGCTCACCCGGGACCCTGTCCTCGTCTCCTTCCAGGTCGATCCCGTGTTCACCCGGGAAGTGAAGGCCGGAGTGAGGAGGTAAGCAGAGGTGGTGGGCGGGCCTGGGGGAGGTCCCGGTGCCGAGGTCCCTGCGCGGTCACCGTGTCCCGGGCTCCGTTCCCAGCGCCTCGCAGACAACTCCTCACCTGGCCCGCCGGTGCCGCTCTGAGGGCCTAGGTGCCACGCGTCCCCATTCACAGGCGGGAAACGGGGAGCGTAAGCCATCCCTGGCGGGTGTCGGTGACGCCCGTGGGACGTCCAGCCTCGCTAGCTCGGGGACGTGCCTCAGGATGGTGTTCGCTGGTCACATTGGCAAAAACCAAAAAGACTTGAAATATCGAGGGTTTGGTCGCGTGGGGGGAAGCTGCCCTCCTCCCGTGCTCTGCCGCCGAGTGTGGGGACCGCCGCCCCATGTGGAGAGCGGTTTGTCAGGGCGTTTGGTGTAAACTGCATCTGTCGGCCCGTAACAGACCCGCAACGCCGGCCTGAGCACACTGGGGCTTAAACGCTCACGTAAAAAATCTGATGTGCTCGGTCCAGGACCAGGTACGGCTCAGGGACGTGGGCTCCTCGCTGTCCTGCTGTCCCTCGCCTGTGGCTTCCATCCTCACCGTGACAAGGTGGTTGCA